TACTGAAATATTGTAGGTGGAAACTCAGTACTTGAAAGCTCTCGGTCAAGTATCAAGTCACAGGTTCAACAAGGCTCATTGCTGGGTCCTGCACTTGGGTCACAACAGCTCTGTGCAAAGCTACAGGCTTGAGGAAGAGTGCCTGGAAAGCTGCTCAGCGGAAAAGGACCTGAAGGTGTTGGTGAACACCTGGCTGAGTATGGGCACTTGGCTCATACTCAGCCAAGAAGGCCAACAGCATTCTGGCTTGTATCAGCGATAGTGTGAATTTTATTTGTTAATCAGAAGACTTGCTTCACCAAATCAGAAGACTTGCTTCACCAAAACTTTTATATATAGATTTATTGGAAGTAGTGAAAAACTTATAATAAGTCTTTCTTTTGAATTTTGATGAGCTATTTTTTTTTAACTGTAATACTATTTTACTATCACAGACTGCAGTAAAAGTATTTTTTATAAAATACTTGAAGTCTGAAAGCTGACAGTAATTATATATCTCGCTTGTTCATTGCACACATGTACTTATTTTCATTGAAATGGAAAATTTAAATATAGATTATGACTGTCCAAATTACCTTTATCAGCAAAATAGCCTCTACTCACCATTACTCTCAAAGTAGGAAGAATTAGCTTTTTTACTCAATGCATCTTCTGTGTCAGTCTTGCATCAATTGTTTATAATGCACAGAACTTAGTACTCTATTTTTCAACTTGTTTAGACTAGAAAGCAACTTTCAAGAAATTCATTACACCTATTAACAACCATAGTTGAAATATCACAGCAGGCACAATTTATTGTTTTTCATTGCTTACTTTCAATGGCTGCAAGCAATGAAATGAAATTTAGTTTTGCTATGTGAAAAGTGTTTGTGAGTTAGTAACTTCAGTTAGAAATAAAACTGACTTTTTTTGCATCCTGATGTGGTGGCTTATCTAATTATAGTAGTCTGCAATATAGGTATCTAAATGTGACACAAAAGAAATCTAACATGGTATCTCAGATCAGTAAATTTAACTTGCAGAGCAAGGCAGTCTGTATTTGTTTTGAATATCTGATCTAATAATGGTGCTTTGGGTGAAAAGCTGCCTCAAGGGGAAAGCTCCAAGGGTTGTAGTGAACGGAACTACATCCAGCTGGTGACTGGTCACTAGTGCTGTCCTTCAAGGATTAGAGCCTGTCCAGTGATCTGGATGCACAGCTTGAATGCCCCATTAGCAAGTTTGCTGGTGATATGAAAATGGTAAGCGCTGTTGACTCTTGTGGGACAGGAGGCCTTGCAGAGGGATCTAGATAGATTGGAACATTGGGCTATCATCAGTGGTTTATTTAACATTTGAAAATTTAAGAAGAACAAATGCCAGATTCTGTACCTGGGATGCAGTAACACTGGGCACAAGTATAAAATCGAAGAGGAGTGGCTGGAGAGCAGCCCTGCAGAAAGAAATCTGGGGATGTTGGTCAGCAGCAGGTTCAATACAAGTCAGCACTGTGCCCTGGCAGCCACAAGGGCAACAAACATCCTGGGGTGCATTAAACACAGCATAACCAGCTGGTCAAAAGAGGTGATTATGCTGCTGTATTTAGCATTGGTTCAGCCTCCCCTTGAGTACTGTGTACAGGTCTGGTCCCCATCATTTAAGAAGGATGTGAAGGTCTCTGAAAGCATCCAGAGGGCAGTGAAGCTGGCAAAAGGCCTGGAAAGCATGTCCTGTGAGGAGTGGCTGAGGACTCTGGGCTTGTCTAGTTGGGAGAAAAGGAGACTGAGAGGGTGACCTCATTGCTCTCTTCAGCTAATTGAGGAGAGGAAATGGAGAGGGAGATGCTGAGCTGTTCTCCGTAGCATCCAGTGATAAATCATATGAGAATGGTTCAAAGCTGGACCAGGGAGGTTCTGGGAGGGTGTTCAAACTGCAGAATAGGCTTCCTAGAGAGCTTGTCAATGCCCCATGCATGTCAGTGTTTCAGAGGCATTTGAACAATGTCCTTAACATTAGCTTTAGCTTTTGGTCAGGCCTGGAGTGGTCATGTAGTTGTGCTATATGATCATGGTAGGTCCCTTCCAATTGGAACTGTTCTGTCATATTGTAACTGCTTAGATGTAGAGACATGCAAGACCTCTGTGTGGAAAATGAAAATACAGAGGTTTCTGAAGCTTATACCGTCTTCAAAATGTGGTCTTTAACATATAAACTGCCCTGTTTCATTTTTAAGCCTATTTAAGGTTGCAAACCTTAGAGCATGATTACCACATCTGTCTTCTTTCCAATAACTTTTCAGTCTGAGGACTTGCTTCATCAGCATTACACAGAAGGAGAAAAGTCTCCACTGTGCAGAATTCTATGACTCTTCTAAAGCTTATTTGCTGATTAGTAAGAAAAAAAGCGACCCAGATTAGCAATGCTGCTGAGGAAGGGCTCAGAACTAGCCTTCATATTATCTGTTGTCTGTCCCAGCTGGGCAGCTTATGAGTTTTGCAGAAAGCCTGGGAAAGAAGGTTATGAAGGTGATGGGAGGATATTAGGTTTGTAGAGGAAGGAAGAAGATTAGTCACAGGTTGTTAAGACTGAGGCTATTATGGGTAGTGGAAAATCCATCACAAAGTCCTCACATAATTTTAGAAATACTGACAATGCATACAGACAATATACAGTGGTAATGCTGTAGTACTGCTCTTGTACACATAATGACAGAGGAGAGGGATTATCGGGGCTTGATGAGATCACTTCAAATAGCACAAGATCATTACCTCTTCACCCTCATTCTCTGCCGTTTCACATCCCATAGTAGCAGTTCAGTCTGTTGTATAACAGAAGTATCAAATTAGCTGGTGTTATATATAGAAATGAAAAAAATCATTTAAAGATTCACATACCTTTATATATAGTTACAACTTTAAGGAGTTCCCAAGAGAGGTAACAGATAGTTTTAAGATATCCACATAGTTTTATATAGTTGGCTATATTTGTATTACAGAAGGCTATGACTTTAGGAACATAAATACCAGGTCTCCTGAAGAGGGCTTTAGCCACATGTTGCTAGAGGCTGAGAAGTGCCATGGAGAAATGATAATGCTTTATACTTTTCCATGAGTATTTGTTTGAAGACACCACGCAGATGGAATGTTATGATAGGTGGACTTTCAGTATAAAGTGTTGTGACTGGTCTTACTTTTTTAAAAAGCTCACTGTTCATTGTTTTTAAAATCTAACAAATTTCTTATTGCTTCTGTATTGAACCAAGTGTATCATATTGGCTGACACTTTCATATGGCCACAAAATACATCTTGAGTAAAAAGAAAAAGTGATTTGAGTAACTCCAGTCTATATTATAATTTAGTACAATTTAACTTCTACTACCTGAATCTTTAGGTCATGTTTCCTGTAACAGTGCAGCCATACTCTTGGGATTAATTTTTTTCTTCACTTAGTATTTTAGTGCCATTTTAGATCTTTCTGAGAAATGTGAAATTTTCAAGATCATCATTTATGCATTTTTTTTAGCTGATAATACACCACTGTTGATGTGGATAAAAAGTAGCTTGGGTAGCAAAATCTCCCAAGATTGTATCTGTATAAATAAAGACATTAGGAATGTCTTTCTTAGGCTTTAACAAAGAATTCTTGTCAGAAAATTAGCATGTCTGTAGTATTTGTCATTTACACCATGCTAACATCATACATAAGCCTGTTAGCTATAACGTGCTAGCAGAATGTCTGCGATCCGTTTTGGAGGAAATTCTGCTAAATACATAAGCAAAATGAGCAGATTAGTTCTGTTAGCTCTATAGCAGTAACCCATGCAAGTGATTATCACAGCCTTCAAATAGTAAACGTGCTTCAATAAGTACAGTGTGTAGGAGTGCTGCTTTAGAAACCATTGATTTGTACTGTTTTTTTTAATTTCTATATATTTGTTAGACTAAGAATCATCGAATAGTTAGGGTTGGAAAGGACCTTAAGATCATCTATTTCCAATACCCCTGCCATGGGCAGGGACACGTCACACTAAACCATGGCACCCAAGGCTCCGTCCAACCTGGTCTTGAACACTGCCAGGGATGGAGCACTCACAACTTCCCTGGGCAGCCCATTCCAGTGCCTCACCACCCTTACAGGAAAGAACTTCTTCCTTACATCCAGTCTAAACTTCCCTGTTTAAGTTTAAACCCATTGCTCCTTGTCCTATCCCTACAGTCTCTAGAAAAGAGTCCCTGTCCAGCATCCTTGTAGGCCCCCTTCAGATACTGGAAGGCTGCTATGAGGTCTCCACGCAGCCTTCTCTTCTCCAGGCTGAACCGACCCAACTTTCTCAGCCTATCTTCATACGGGAGGTATTCCAGCCCCCTGAACGTCCTCGTGGCCCTCTTCTGGACTTGTTCCAACAGTTCCATGTCCTTTTTATGTTGGGGACACCAGAACTGCACACAATACTCATGAGAGCAGAGTAGAAATTATGTAAATTGCAAATTACTTAAAATTTGCTCACCCTATTCTCACCTGTTTTTTTGTCTCAAGGGAATTCAACCTTTACATGCACTTCCCTTGTATTTCTTTGCCTTGTTATTTAATGTTATCTTCCTTTTATTGCCAGCAGGATTTTTTTTGGAAGCTATTATGTTATTTGCGAACCTTGTTTCTTGTAGACTTGCCCCAAATAATTTGTAGCCTAAGAAATTAAGTGAGGATATATGTACCAAATCATTTCACTTTTAAACTTTGTTTATTTTTTGTAGTATTTTTTAAAGCTCTCAGCTTAATCTTTTCTTAAGATAGCACCACTGAGAGCAGTTGTTTAAGCTATCAAGAGTCAGAAAAATAAATCCAATGTAGTGTTTAATTACTTGCTTATATTTTGTGGATTTTCATACAGTTGTAAGTATGCACCAGCACATTTGATTCGCTTGAGAACAGAAGAGTATTTTATTTTCTCAGACAGTGCCTTTGATACTTAGGGACTACAGAAAAGTTGCAGTAAAATATCTGTTTATTCTTTCTTCAGAACAAGTTCATAGGCACTTGGATCAGCATGAGGTGAAATACTTGCAATTTGCGTTCCGTTGGATGAATAACTTGCTGATGAGAGAAGTCCCTTTACGGTGTACCATCAGGTTATGGGACACATACCAAGTAAGTACTATTTTAAACCTCTATAACTCTGGTAATGTGTTTTGGACATGGCAGTATGCGTGTATGTGTGTTTTCTTCAACCTTTAGTTTTGGTGTCATCTGAGAATCATCATAAGAAGAGAAAAAGCCTTCAGTGATCGTTAATAATTAGAAATGTATAATGTCTTCGGTCTTTTTGTCCTTCAAAACCAAACACTTGATGTTGTGATAGTTTATAGTACTAAAATGAACACTCACTCAAAGTGTGGGTTAATGTCAGTATTCTCTTTTGTCTCTTCAGAGAAGTAAAACAGTGAATTGTGCTTAATCAATGCCCTTCATTGATTCTGAGTTCCAGTCTTCTTACTGCCTGTCTGCTTAACTACTCAATCCAATACTAGCTTCCAGTCTCCAGTTCTCAACATTCATCCTCCCATCATGTCTTCTGTCTTATTGTCTGTCTAGACTAAACTTGTTATGTTACTGACCTCTAGTTGAGGTAATTATTTTTCCTCAATAACTCCTTGCCTGACTGTCAAGTTAAGGAATTGATACCAGAAAAAACTTTACCCATTCTTTTTTCTGTGACTTGACACTCCACTAGCTTCTGGTTGGAATTTTCGACTATGTATTTAAACAATATATCCTCTGCTGCCTTTAATGTTGAAGTTAATGAAAAATAAATAAATGAAGAAAAGTAAAAAAAATTAAATTCCATAAAAGTTTTCAACTGAATTAGTTTAGTAAATGTGAGAATAATTCTTAATTTATGTCTTGTAAAGATGTGTAACATCTTTAAATATGTCTTCACATCTATTTGTTACGTAGCAAAGTTTAGTAAGTTACATACACTTTAATCCCAGATTGTTCACTTAGACCATCTATACAGCCTGCTCAGAGGGTTAAGAATTTGCTTGCTATTCATTTGATGAGTCCAGTAGGTTGTTTTGGTGTGTGTTTTATAGAATGGTATCCAAACCTGATAAGAAAATGTTCAGAAATGTTAAGAATGATCTACCACTTCTACTGTTAGTGTGTCCTAGGAGGTGGTATATTTACATGTTTTATTTGGTTGTTCATCTTCAACAAATTTATGAATTGAATTTAAATATTGCTTCCATCTGGGGTCCTTTTATCTCCTTTGTCTCATTTTAACATTGTTTTTCATTTTAATATCTGTTATTACCTTGCATTTTCTTCCTGTGGAAAATATTTATTCTTTATATGATTTTTCTGAGAAACTGGAAAAATGAGCTATTTAAAATGTTTTACTGTAGCTAGTTTCTTTCATTTTGAATAATTTTTGTTGCTGTTAGTGCAGCATTTCTAACTCCTGAAGCTGTTTTTATAATGCTAACTCTAGCACTGCATTTGGTGCTTGATCATTAGTCTCGTCAATGTGCTAAAATCATGTGAAAGTTCTTCCTTGGTGGAGGTAGCCACCTTTATGTGCCCAAGAAATAGCTGGCTTTGCCAGAGCTTTACTTGGAATGCTTCTGTGAGCTATGATGTTAATGTTGATAATATAATGTTGATAATGTTGATAATATAATGCTGATAATGTTGAAAAACTTCTTTTGAAGATCAAGCATGTGGATACTTTCTCAAGCTGTTGTCATGCTGAAAAGAGTCTTTCAAGTTCAGTCTGATCTTTTTCACCATAAGTGGTTCTGAATATTTCATTCTGATTTTTAGCAGATTTTGCTATATTACAGTAGTTGTCTGTAGTATTTAAAAACTTAAAACTTACTTATTCACATGGGATTTCCATGTATCTTTTCAATGAAGGTTTCTTATATCTAAATATGTGACGGGGATTCTTATAGCTAGAGTGGGATTATTTTTGTATATTAGACATACTTAAGGAGTATTTCTCTGTTTTGACTCAGCACGTGCAGCAGTTCTTTTTTCTTGGTTCAGTTACTCAGCAGACTCAGGAGTTCTGACACTGCTATAAACAGAAATATCTTTAACTGCAGTATAAGTTCACAAAGGTGAACTAATCATGTTCAATGTAACGTTATCCACAGCGGAGACTACAGGTATCCCTACGCTGCTGATATGAGGGGTTTTGCTCAGGCTCTACCTTATGGCTCTTGGGAAGGAATGGGACATTTTGCAAAGCACTGACACAGGCAGCTCTAAGGCCAGTACACAACATGATTTGTCAATGCCAGAGGAGAGTTAGGGTAGGAAGGACAGTCAGATTTCTTTCTGTGGAAAGAATGGGAAGACAGGCAGGACTGTCAGATTCCTTCATGCCTGCAGCAAGGGTGCATTCTAGCTCTCCCATTTCCTGAAGAAATCCAGGGTGATGGTGGATTTCTTCCCTCTGCATCCAAGGATTAGAGTGCAGCGGCCTCTCTTTGAAGAGAAGACCCTGCTGCTGATGTTTTCACAGAATAAATGTTTTTTGTCTCCTTTGTCTTCCTCTCTCCCCATCAAAGCAGAAATAATGCCTGGTCTTGCTGAGCTGCATGTTTTCCTCTGTTTGCAGTGGAAAGATAAATACTGTGCTGTCTCCAGCTTAAATTCCCGATGGGTCATTCTCAGAACAGGCCCCATTTTCTCATGAACTGCAACAAGGAGTTTTCAAGGGAATGACAGCATGCTTAAATAGTCTGCTGTTATACATTCCCTAGTGTGATAGGTAACTGTTGTTGTCTGGAGTTGTTAGAACTGCATTCTGTCTCTCAAAATTTGTTGCAGTTCTTCCATTGCCTTCAGTGAGAATAGGGTTGGACACTTAAATGACATCCACCTCTTTCTCTGTATGCAGAATAGCAAAGGTACTCTGGCTGTTGTCCTCTTTTCTGTCTAGTTTAATTTAGGATTCATCAGTCATTTGTTAGGCTCTCTGAAGTACATCATTGGACATATAATCCGAAATACCTGTACTTGAGCTAGTTAGAGTTGAGGGGATGAGAAACTTGGAAAGATTCCCAAATCCTCACTTCAGTAAATACTCTGGTATTCTGTAACTGTATCTATGAAATCCACTAAAATATATCACTGTATTCTGTGGCAGGATTTTGTGAAGTAGAAAAATTGCAGACATTATGTATCATGCTTACAAAGGATATGTTGTGAGAGCTTCTTAAGCATAAATATTTAGTTTGGTTTATTCTTTAACTTGAATTGCATTTTAATGAAATCAAATTATCCTACTTTTTTCACCTTACTTGGGCTTTGCTATCATTAGTTTTTGTTCTTCTAAAAAAAGATAAATGCTGTAAATACCTTGTAAATTCTTTCAAAATAAAATCGCTGTTAAGTCACGCCCAAGACAGTCAAATTTTAAATCTGTAGAACTGATTAATATGAATGTTCACGGACTTTATCAAATGTAAAAGATTCCACAAACCAAAAATAGTGCAACATAAAACCTCAGGTTTATCTTTTTATTATCTCTTGCCTTTTTATCTTATATTTTGTCATTTTTTTTTGGCATACCGTATTGGTAAGTGGAGGTAGCATGATGGCTGAATTATTCAGGATACATAATGTTTAACATATTTCTACAGACTTATGAAATGAAAGTTAGTTTTGTATTTGTTCCAGTGTTTAGTTTTAACTATCGGTAGTTTTAAACTGCTTAAATACTGAGTGCAAAACTACATTGGATTTCTGGGCACTTTGGAATTGGAAAGAAATCTTCAATGATGCCATCAAATCATAATATGGTGGTATGCTGACTGTTGTTTTAAATAGAAAAAGGATTTTCATTGGCACATCAGTACTTAGTTTTGTTTACTTTTCCTGTAGAATGGAGTGCATGTATTTTTCATTACAGTGTTTTCTTGCTGATCTGATGTTCTTACATAAATTACCTTTTTGTGCTGTCTTTTGTGCAATGATCTCTCTGTGCCAGTAACTCGCTAGTAGTATATAATTTGCAGAAGAGACACTGACACAAGTTCCTTAGCTAAGAACTTGCTCAGGGAAAAAAGAAAATGAAAAATGAAAAAAAATAACAGCACCTATGTGTACTAGTTTTCAGTTTTAAGTACATGGTAGCAAGTGCCGCGTGAATTTTTCAAGTGTTCAGCCTAATATTTGCTCCTGCCAGGGAGCCTTTTTGTTTAAGTAGCTGAGTGCTGTGTTGCCAGCTCACCATAAGCTGGTATCATCGAAATGACTCACACACACAGACTTCTTCGATACACCGCCAAACAGGCAGGTGAGATAGGTACTGTTTGCAGTCCCCTGATGCTCCTACTTTACAGCTTTACCTTGTTCTTGTGTGAGAAAAACTTTACTAGGATCTCTTAAGGCATACCATGGAAAATAAATGCAAATTAAAGCATATAATCCTACCAGGCAAAATGCAAGAGTTATAAAAATTTACAAAAGGTATAGGAAAAATCAAATAAAAACAATGTTGGAATTTGACAATACTGTTGAGTTGATTTACTGTCTCACTGCTGAAATAGGTGTTTCTACTTGTTCCTGTTATTTCCTGCTCTTTGGCACTGTTTTCCTCAGATTAGCCCAGTGAGGGGGCTGATGAGTATTACAGCCAGTTCAAGGGAGAGAGGACAAGATAGCAGAGCTGTGAATTGAACCCTAGTGTTAAATCAAAATGATGATAGCTTATTTGCCATCTTTTTTAAAGAAGAATTTCTTTCTTGGTATATAGTACATTTCTCAGGTTGCATCTGCTAGACGAACTTCAACAGAAAGCACCCACTGCTGGTGGAATCTCTTCCTGAAGTCCTCCAGGTGGGTCAAGAAAAATATATGGTTTTCCTCCTTAAAATTTAATTTTTCTTTCTCATCCAGGAGACTGAGGCTTCTTTTGCTCAAACTAAACATTATTTTATTCTTCTGGAGAATGTGTGTCTTCATTAGACTGAATTTTATCACGTGTACTTGACCAGCCATTTATATCTTTTCCTTCTTCAAGAAGAGATGAAGTTTCTTTTCCCTTTCTTTGACTTAGTGTTCATTTTTATTGTAAGGTAGCTTGTGTTGGACCTCATGTACTCAATTGACCAATGTGGTAACAGACATGTTTGTTT